CTCTTTTTCACATTTTCCCTACATCTTTGCTTTATACAGATTTGTCATATATTACAGAAAGCTTTCAGTAAATTTAAGAGTGAACCATTCAGTTAAGCTTGTCTTTCAAGGGTGGAGAATGTTCTAGTTTATTAACAGATGCAGTCCTAGGCTGATGGCAATTACAATTTAAGTGAGTTGACAACTACTTGGTAGTCTCTGTAAGGAAAGTAAACGGCCTCAGTTTACCTGTAACTTCCCTAAAAAGCCTTTTGCTCTAGAGATACCTCTCCTGAGGCACCTTCCCAAGCTGAAGAGAAAGGAATCAGCCCCATCCTCATTCTCAGAGAACACAGGTCTTTTAGGCTCTCAAGGCTGTCAGTGCAGGTGTATTACAACACTTTTAAAGATGGCTTATAATTAATCGAAGACTTTTTTTGTCTCATATATGAGACAAAACTGTCTTCTCAAAGTATCAAAATGAGAGAGGAAACATGGAAACATTCTCTTTTTTTTTTTTTTTTTTTTTTTTACTCTGCCAGCTCCCTTCCCTCCTTCTAATTTCATCTTTCTAGCTGCTATCGGTTTCCTCTTGGAACAGGAAAAGCCTTTTTGCTCCTTTTTCTTTTGTATCTCCACTTTTAACACTCCTATTGAGTGACTTATTTTTTATCTTTAATGAAAGTCCTCTTAATGCAAATGCTACATTGTTTGAAAAAAAACACAAAAAACTGAAAAAAATCCAAACTCAAACCTGTTCTGCTCTATTTACATAATGAAGACCAGCAGGATTGTTTCAATACCTTCTGGAAAAACAATATTTAAAGAAGAAAGATGTTAGGTAGGAGAACAAGGCACCTTGTGCTGCACAAATTTAAATAAGCACAGCATCGCCAGCCAGTCAAGGGAGGTGATTGTCCTGCTCTACCCTGTTTTGGTGCGGCCTCACCTCGAGACCTGTGTGCAGTTTTGGTCACCACAATACAAGAAAGATATTAAACTATTAGAGAACATCCAAAGGAGGACCATGAATACAGTGAAGGGCTTAGAGGAGAAGCCTTATGAGGAGCGGCTGAGGTAGCTTGGTTTATTCAGCCTGGAGAAGAGGAGACTAGGGAGAGACCTCTTCATAGTCCACAACTTCCTCATGAGGGGAAGCAGAGAGGCAGGCATTGATCTCTTCTCTGTGGTGACCAGTGACAGGACTTGAGGGAATGGCCTGAAGTTATGTCAGAGGAGGTTTAGATTGGACATTAGAAAAAGGTTCTTCACCCAGAGGGTGGTTGGGCACTGGAACAGGTTCCCCAGAGAAGTGGTCACAGCACCAAGCCTGACAGAGTTCAAGAACCATTGGGACAGTGCTCTCGGGTACACGGTTTGACTCTTTGGGTGTCCTGTGCAGAGCCAGGAGCTGGACTTGATGATCCTTGTGGCTCCCTCAATTTTAGGTGTGTAAAATAAAATCTATTGTTAGGACACCAGTATGGTTGACACACGAGTGTGGTTGCAGAACCTGCAGGAAAATGCTCCTGAGTGGCACATCTGAGGGGACCTGGTCGAAGTAGGATCCTGTGAATGCCTGGAGAGCCCAGCCCGCAGCACAAGCTAAGTTAAAGCATTGAAATGCACAATCAGTCTCACAAAGCAGAAGTGCTACTGAGAAGATTACGAAAGAGGTATGCCACAGAATCACAGAATATGCTGAGTTGGAAGGCACCCACAAGGATCATCAAGTCCAACTCTTAGCCCTGCACAGGACCATCCCCAAGAGTTGCACCATGTGCCTGAGAGTATTGTCCCAATGCTTCTTGAACTCTGTCAGGCTTGGTGCTGTGACCACTTCCCTAGGGAGCCTGTTCCAGTGCCCAACCACCCTCTGGGTGAGGAACCTTTTTCTAATATCCAACCTAAACCTTCCCTGACACAACTTCAGGCCATTCCCTCGGGTCCTATCACCATTGATACGATGAAAGTGTGCAATCACACTGAGTGGATTAAGAAAGAATGATGCAATTCATAAAACACATTGAGAAAGTGCCACCATTGATAAGACTTAGAAAAGCAATGTCAGGTAAAAAGAAGGGAAAGGGTGTAAATTGCCAAAGGCTACAGACCATACAGAGTCTAAAGGAAAAAGGAGTCTTGAGGACTTTTCTGCAGAAACACTGATGGAGCTGTAAAATAGGGGCAATGGAAATCAGCAAGCCAGAGAAATTACCAAAAAGTGCGAGTGGATAAGTGGATACTTCTGTTTGTGAGCAACTACAGTTAGTAATACCACAGATACACTTCTCTCCTTACCAATCTCATTTATAGAAGACATATATTAATGTAGAACTATTAACATGTGAGAAGCAACTGTATCACTGGAAAAAGGGGTTACAACACTGTGGTTTTCTGAATTGAGAGAAGACTGAAGGGACACATTGACAACAGTCTTTGAGTACCTAAGAGGCCATTCTCTGGGTATGAAGGATGGCAAGACAAAAATAACGCAAGTCACTGAACTGCAGTAAGGTAGACATCAGGAAAACCTCAGAGTAGTAATGAACAAGGCTGGATTCCTTGTGGAAGCTGTGGAATCTCCAGCAGTGCAGGTATGAAATGGCAGCTTGGACAATAGCTATCACAAAAAAAAGAAGTCACATATAACTGACCTCTTCTAGGAACACAGACAAACAAGGTGGATTTTTGAGATATGATCCTGGCTCTTTATACGATTTTATGGCTGTAGCGAAGGTTAGTATAAACATTTTATTTTGATCACACAAGAAGCATGCTTTAAGTGAGATGTTACAGTGGCAAACAAATTACAGACATTCACAAAAATGGGCTTAACAATGTTATAAGTTACTCTAAATCACCAGTTCAGCAGAACAGTGAAGCATAGTTCTTGCGTCCTACAGACTTTAGGTCTAAGGACACAAAACACCCAATCTTGAGGCCTTGAGGAAATATTAAACCAAATCGATGACACCTTTAACAACAGAATAACCCCAGACCTAAAAAAGTCAGTATTAGGGAGGAGTGTGCTGCAGGACAGCACAAACTCTCACACATACCACAAAAAGCAAGGCATCTCTAAACTGCTCTTCAGGAAAAAACTGTTAATAGAGATTTCCTGAAGAATTGCTGTTGGGGATTAAACATTCACACCTCAGCGTGCGTTTCACTTGTGGAGGGAGTCTAATGTGAACTGGATATACTGTTACTAAGATTTAGTGACCCCATTTGTCACAGTGGCAACTGCACACAGACTGCCTGTCTTTAACTAAAGCAAGCTCCATTTTAACAAGGCTTTTAGCTGTCTGCAGCTGCTCGAACGAAGTCTTTCTGTTGACACCCATAGGCTCCCTGGGGTGCTTATGTCAGTTCCTGGTGCTATCCCTTTTAATCTTAATGTACACCTGTCAGACCCCTCGGAATTTCTATTCAGTATCACCTTCCCCTGAAGGCTCCTTCAGCCAGAATAAACTTGGGTTTACTTATTTATTATTACAGCAAAATAAGCTGTGCCCACTGACTTGATAGTTCTGCCTCGGAGAGCCTGAAGAGCGAAAAGCCAAGTGGTTTGAAACCCAGCCTTTCCAAGTTGCACACTTTGCAGCTGGACACCATAAAATCTGTTTCATGGTTCTTGTTAGAACCAAATAATCCTCAGAAAGGGCCCTTCTGATCTTACAGCCTATGAAACAATCTACGTCCAGATCTAAGATTTGCTATAAGATTTCCCAGAATTTAAAGACATACAGCGATCGTTTAGAGCTTTCGGCTTTGGGTGTGCTGATCTCTCACAAAGTCTGCCACCGCATCCCGGACAAGTTGTTCCGCGCAGGCAAGTGACTGGCGAGGGGAATAGTGTGGTGTCCGCTGCCCTGCCCGCCCGGAGCACGACCCCCAGCGCCAGCCGGTGCTGCCCGAGGCTCCGGGGGCGCTCCCAGAGGCGAGCGCTTCCCGCAAGCGTGGTGCGACCGCGGCAGCGCCTCTTTGACAGGAGAAGGCAAAAAAGGAGCAGCGAGGAGACAGAAACATGCCCGGCACAGGCAGGAGCCTGCTGTGAGCCCGGGAGCTGGGGAGGAGGAAAGGGGCTGCGCATCCCCGGCCCCACCGCCCTGGCCTCGCCACCGCCGCCCCGGTCCCCGCCCGTCCCGCCGCTGCCGCCAGCGCGTCCCGCCGCTCACCGATAGTGGAAACGACGGTGCCCACGAAGTAGAAAGCGCCGGTGAAATCCCATCGGGGCCGGATGTCATCGACACGGATGCCGGCCACGTTGGCCTCCTCGTACTGCCGGAGAAGGAGCCGGAGCTCGGCGCGGCTGAGGTTGTGGCGCCGGGTAAAGTTCTCCAGCCGTTCCTCCCAGCGCTCCTTGGCCTCCCGCTCCGTGGGCAGCTCGATGGCCGAGAAGACGGCGGCGCCGCACAGCATGTAGAGCAGGATCAGCACCGCCAGCAGGAGGAACCGCGCGTTGTCCGCGTTCAGGCGACCCGCGCTGGAGCAGCAGCAGCCACCGCCACACGCCATCCTCCGCCCCGCGGGACCGGGCTCCGCGCCGCCACGCTACGTCGGGGCCCCGCTGCCGCCGCCGGGCATCACGGCACCGCCCGCCCGCCGTGCGCGGGGCTGTGGGGCTCAGGGCGCCGCGGAGCCCGGCGGCGGCGAACAGCGCTCCGGGGAGCCGGCCGGCACCTTCGCCCCGGGGGCAGGGCGCGGCGGACGCGCTTCGGGCTGCAGCGCATCCTGCGGGCGAGGGAACCGCCCGTCCCCGTCCCGTCCCGTCCCGCAGAGCCTCTCAGCCCCACCGCCCGCCGCGCCGGGCTCCCATGCCCGCCAGTTTCATATCCCCTTCCTGCCCCCGCCCCGAGCACGTCGGAGCGGGGCGCAGGGACAGGCATCGCCAGGCGCCTCCTGCCTGGTGGCGGGGGCGAGGCGGGATCCGCGCCAGCTCGCCCCGCCGCCCTCCCCCGCCGCGGGGCTCCTCCGCCCGGGTCGCGCCCCCGACGGTGTCCTCCACCGCCCCGAGGGTCGCTCCCCGCGGCAGAGGCGCGGCCGCCGTCCCCGAGGGTGTCCCCGGAGCTCCAGGAGAGCAGCTGGCAGGGCGGGCCGCTCCGCTGCCTCCACCTCTCACAGGGACAAGGGGCTCCCCCTTCCCTCCCGGCCTGTGCTCAGCCCCGGCCGTGGAGTCGAGGAGCGCTCCAGGCAACGGCGCCTCTTAGAAAGATCGGGAGTGAAACCCTTCAGTCGGTGATATGCCTCTAGTATCAAAGCCATAAAAATTACCGCCCTTTGCCAAAAGAGGGCACCTCCTTCTCCACAGATCTGGTTATCCATCGCCTTCCCGACAAGGTGTTACATCTTCATCCTCCAGCGCTGGGCAGTCAAAGGGAAGTCGTGAAGGGAAGACAGAGGCAGCTCTCCAGCTGCAATGTGGTTTAAAAAGGCGTTATTTGCAGGTTCAAAGAGCTCTTGATCCAAATCTTCTGGTAATATTCTTACTACAAGAAGAAAAAGCTAAACTCAGCAATATCTGGCAGTTAGTACAGTGCTGAATTCTACTTTAAAATAACTGGAAGCTAGAATTCAGCTCTGTTAAACATATTAGTATATAAACACTTTCCAGTGAAAGACAACCTACATATATTTTTTTAAAATCAGGTTAATGAGCTATTACTGTAACATCTACTCCCCTTCACCTCTTTTCTATTTCTATTTCCTAATTATGTTGCAGTCAAAATGCAATGGGAATGAACTCTAAGGTCTTAGCAATTAGAAATCCCACACAATGGTAGATAATGGTTTTAAGAGCCATTGATGGTCTCATAGCCTGAGATATATTTGGGTATTGGTCTGAGCCCTGGGGGTGCACTGTGGGCAGTTCTCTGCCAGTGTTTGGGATAGGATCACCAGCTGCATGGCAACAGCTGCTTGGGCAGCACAGACAGGGAAAAGCCATGTCCTTTCCTCATGTTGCACAGTAAACCAACAGCCAAGGATGAATAGGATTCATGCGTCCTCATCATTTTTTTTCCTAGTTGTTATACATACGTACATCATGTTGCAAGTTTTTATTCCCTCATCATTAATCTTCAGTATAGACTAACATATGGCAATCAAAATTAGCAGCGATGCTGGAAGACACTAAATAGTGAAAAATAGAAAAACGAGATGCCAGTCAAATTAACCAGACTCTGTGACAAGTGCTAAAGGTAACCACATGCTTCCATAAAAAGTGCTGGTATATCTTTAAAATTATTAATAGTTCCTATTAGAGTAAAAAAAATCCAACCTATTGCCAGTCTTTGCCATCCAGAAAGAAGACAGAACTCAATCAGTGTGCTCCCAGCCAGAATAGGCAGCAGAACTGAGTGAGCACCCTCAGTCCACGCTGAAATCTCCACCCACGAAAGCTGTTCTAGGGTGGCTTGGGTTAGCACAGTGGGAAAAGGAGCCTTTAACTGTTTACAACCATGACATCAATGTGATTGCCCAAAGGAATGTGAATAACAATCACACTGTCCTAAGGATTATCCAAGGAAAATTATTCAAAGTTATTGAGTTCCTCCTTATTTACATATTATTTTGTTAGTGTGGAATAGTTATTTTGGTGTTGGTCTTGGGCATAGAGGGAGTTATCACATTAATGCAGGTAAAACCATCTGGCACAGTTTTGAAAGACAATGAAGTTTACCACTGTCACTGGTCATCAAACGTTGCAAGTTCCCTTAATTTGTCAAATTTGATCTTCACCAAACTAAAACACTATGAAGGATATGCAGTGATTTAATCATCTTTCAAAAAAGTGGCTTTTTAAGCGATAGAACAAGAGTGAGTTAATATTGACTGGAATCCTGAAGAAGAAAATGAGAAAAGGCTGGCAAATATCAAAGGCGTGGCACCTTTTGTTGTTTTAAGCTCCTTTTCTTCCTTTATTCCCCTGTTTTAATTAAGGTACTTACTCTAAAGAATACTTTTGTGTAACAAAGGTCACCATTTCCATTGCTCTTGGGTAGGTACCTCGAAAAACTGGAGTGTGTGGAGAGCACAGTGTAATGATGCAGTCACCCATTCAGAACGTTTAAGCAAGGCTGAATAAAAAAATGCAATGTGTTCACTGGCATAAGCTAAAAAATAAAATTAATCTTTTAGTTTCAGGTAAAAAAAGTTGTTAAATGTTGCTGATATTTAAACTAACCCCAAAGCTAAGTTCGCATCTTGAGAGCCTGAGCCCTGAAAGCATTGCCATTAACCTCAGTACAGCCACTTGTGGCATCATTACCAGGAAACCTGCTATGTCTGTCCTACCCCTCAGCACCACAAGCTCACAGCTCCCCGGTGTCTGTGTGTGGGGGCATTTAGTGACAACAGATTGGTGGTGGTCAATCCATTATAAAATAATAGGAAAAAAATCAATGTACTTACTCATTCTGTTGATAATATTGAATGACAACCCTGTAATTAAGAAAGCTACAGTCACTAGTAATGATTACCAACAAATGTCTGGTCAGAATAGATTTATTATTAATGCATCATCAAATTATTTGGAAGACTCATGTAGGGATTTAGTTACTCTCACTCTTTCATAGGGTCAATTACTTTTTAATTAGAGATCTCCTTTGGAAGTGATTAGCTGGTACACTTAACCAAAAATCACTAATTATCTTGGGAGGAGCTATGGGAGAGCTGAAATATACTCCTGAGCAAACTTTATACATAATGAAACATTCTGCTAGAGGAGCAGGAATATGAAATAGGGAGTTATGGAATTATTTAGGTTGGAGAAGACCTTGAGATCATTTAGTCCAAGCCACAATCATTAACACTACCAAGTCCACCAGTAAACCATATCCCAAGTGCCACATCTACACATCTTTTAATACCTCCAGGGATCTTAACTCCATCACTTCCCTGGGCAGTCTGTTCCAGTGCCTGACAACCCTCTGTGAAGATTTTTTCCTAATATCCAATCTAAACCTCACCTGGTGCAACTTGAGGCCATTTCCTCTTGTCCTGTCACTTGTTACGTGGGAAAAGAGACCAACCCCTACCTTGCTACAACCTCCTTTCAGGTAGTTGCAGACAGTGATAAGTTTCCCCCTGAGCTTCCTTTTCTCCTGGCTAAACACCCCCAGCTCCCTCACCTGCTCCTCATAAGATTTGTGCTCCAGACCCTTCACCAGCTCTGCTGTCCTTCTCTGGACATACTCCAGCACCTCAAGGTCTGTCTTGCAGTGAGGGGCCCAGAACTGGACATTGGGTTCAAGGTGTGGCCTCACCAGTGCTGAGTACAGGGGGACAATCACTGCCCTGGTCCTGCTGGCCACACTATTTCTGGTACAAGCCAGGATGCCACTGGCTTCCCTGGCCACCCGAGCACACTGCTGCTCATGTTCAGCTGGAATGCTGCTCCTTGCCTTCACAAACCAGAAGGCACTTAGCAGATAAGATGGCTGAACCTGGCTATATAAAACAGATTTTCAAAAAATGAGAAATGTGAAAACTTTTTCCATCTCTTTTACTTCAGTTGCTGAAGTGTGGCATTCGAGTCCTCTTGGGGAAGACAACAGTTCACTTATAGTTAGGGAACACCCTATAGGGGCACTTTTATTTGAAGGTATTTGCAAATTAATTTCTACAATTGGAAAAGTGAGGCAGAGATAGACAGGGCTTAGAAGCCCCTATAAAGGGCTCTTAAAGAGCTGTCCTCAAGAACAACTTCCACTTTTGGAAGTCACTTTGCACTTGCATGCTGTTTATCTTCCATCATTTCAACAGGTAAGAAAACCACTGTGGGGCTGACAGCTTAGTTTCTCAAACTGCTGACCAACCAACCACAGTTCAGAGGCAATAATTTGCAGTGAAGGGAGAACTAAGACACACAAATCAACTTGTTTAAAGACAGAACAGAGTCAGAAAAAAAGTTGGTAAAGACTCCAGGAGCCTCCAAGCATTCCTCCATCCTAAACAGTGGAAAATACTTTCAACTAAAGGATGAACTTTTACGTTGATTAATACAATGGGATCACAATACCTTGAAAGCACTACAAACGTATTTAGAGAGCAGTAATCGGGAATTAGTTTGAGTAGTGATAAATTTTTGATAAACAGAGAAGCAGAAAAGTATATTACAAAAAGAAGATAAGTCAAGGATAGAAAAACTGGAGATTAACATGGGAACTTAATTCCCTGAACTTACCAACTCCTTTCAGCCTCCAGTACTTTCCAGTTTCTTTCTTTGCCCTTCAGGATGCCAGTTACAGTTGCTCAGATTAAAAGAAAGTCAGAGGTAAGAGAGAGGGAATAGTGTGACCACTGTCAGTGTTTGGCTAAAATTCTGACATCCTGGGGCACTGATTAATTCCACAGCTGTAGAACGTCAGCAAAAATATCTGTGGGATTAGGCAGCATCTAGCACCATAGAGAACATTACATCTCCATTCTAGCTTTTGTCAAACACACGCATTGGGTACCTAGAGTATGAAACAAAGCATTTATTAGGGTGGTATGAAAAATATAATTTAAAAATA